GAACGTTAGAGATTGAACTAACAGATTCTGCAGAATAGATCTAGAGTTAAGGAGTCCAACATTGTAGACCACAGTGGTTCAGTTTCAGGTGTATTACTGTAGGTTTAGCAGCTTTAAAGTTATTTTTAAGCAGGGAGTTCAGGCATTTCCTGCTGTAATTATTATTATTCCATCGTTTGCCTTCATAGCGCCTGAATCTGTAGTAGTAGTTACCCATCATGCTTGTGTGCTCTTTGTCCACTAGATGGAGCTGCTGTGTAGATTTATTTTGTGCTGCGACTGTTATACCTTTTTCTTTTTTTCAAAGATCTTCTAGAATCTATAATTAGGATTCTTTTTGGTGTCTGAGGAGCAGTTTTAACTCTCCAAAAGCTCCTTACCAATTCAGTCTATAATCCTAACAGCTTTTTAAGCTCCTTAGACTGTTATTAGGAAGTTTATGGTAATGAAAGTTGAGAATGAAACCTGGGCGTTAAGACTGGAGCATATTTGCAACAGTTTCTTGTAGTTTTAGAAGTTGCTCTGATTACTGAAAGCTGTGTTGTTGTGCATTCCAGGTGGCCCACTTCAAGGAGTACATCCCCCAGGCTTTCCCCGGCGGCCACAGCATGATTCTAGATGCAGAGGTTCTCCTGATCGACACAAAGACCAGCAAACCGCTTCCATTCGGGACTCTAGGTGTTCACAAGGTGATAATCTCCCTCAGTCTCATCCTCTCTATTGATTCAGTCAAAGCAGTAACCCTTCAACTTCTCTCTCTCTCCCCTCAGAAAGCTGCTTTTCAAGATGCCAATGTCTGCCTTTTTGTTTTCGACTGCATCTACTTCAACGGTGTGAGTCTGATGGAAAGGTAACATTTGCTCTTTGCCGTTAAGTTATTTCAGCCATTTTACTGATTAAAAACGAAGCTTTTATCTTTATAAACTGTTTTTTTTTTTTTTGCTTTGTGTTGAAGCTGCTTGGTTTATGTTGTTTAGATCCGATCCTAAATGTTTGGATTGTTTTGGTTTCACTAGGATATCTTAGTTTCCACTTCAGGGTAATGGAATTCATCAAAATGAAATTTTGTTTTTTTTATACACTGTGTGTATACGAAATGACAATAAATGTTGTCTAAGTCTGGTTTATGTTCAGAAACCAGGTCGTCTGCGTGCGTCGCAGTTAACGCAGATAAGCCCCGCCCCCTTCCACAGACACTCTGCTGCACCTCTCCAAAATTGTACGTGACCGCAGACAGGAGGCCTCTGATTGGTCAGATCTACATCCGCTCTACTCTATGCGTATTTCCTGTTTGGTTCCTTACCGGCTTGTTTTGTTTGTGTGACCGCCATTGTGGAAAACGACTGGTGAAGATGGAGCAGCTGGAAGAGCGAGGTGCGCGAGAACGCTGGGACCCTTTTTCCACCTGGATCCCTGCTCTTTTTGGCCCTCATGTCCCTCCGTTGTCGCACAAACTTGCCCCCACTTCCTGACCGCCTTGGCCGTATCTAGACCCATAGCTAGTTCTTGATTGGCCCTCTGGCGTTGTGGCGTGGAATAACAGCGCAGACCACGCCTTAATATTGAGCAGAAATCAACAATATCTGCGACAAGCTGCTGCTGGAGGATAACCAGCAGTTAACTACCTTAAACAAAAACTGACTTACTGAGTAAAGAACAGAGGCTGCTTAAAGTTGTGGGGAATTGATATTTAAATGTCAAATAATTTTGGCTTAAACATGTATATAAATGGACCCTTTATCAGAACATAGTGTCCAAAAATTTCTATTTT